GACCATGTACCACTATTATGGATGGAAAGGATGAAAGACCACAATCCCAGAGTATTAAGGTGGTATATGTCTCTTCTTCCCTTCCAGTTCTCCATCCAGCACTGTGCGGGATGTGAACACCTGGTAGCAGATTACCTCTCATGTTTCCACGAAGAACCCCCGGCAGCCAGTCTGGGGGAGGGGTATCTCGGTCATGACCAGGAGCTCCCGGACCCAGCGGGAGATGGAGGGAACCCGATCGCCAGATGGCCAACCTTACTCACCCGGAGGACCAAGGAGAAGGGTGGGGAACCTGGAGGAGGGCTGAACGCACGAGAGGCCGCCGCGGAGGAGACTGGAGAAGTCGGCGAAGCCAGGGGCAGCAGTGCAGGGCCCCCGAGGGGACAGCGGGAGATGCAAAGCCAAGACGCAGCTCAGTGGCGGGCCCAAGCTGCTCCAAGCTCGACAGCGTGGAAGCCGGCTGATGGGGCCATGGGGAACCTGGGACCAATGGCGGCAGCAGGCGCAGAGGCATGCCAAGGCTCGACTCCGAGGCCGGGAGAAGGGGTGGAGTCACCGGCCTTGGCGTCAAACCCTTTACAGTGGGGAGGGGCCGGAAAAGGGTGGGAGAAGGAGGCTGAGGGGGTAACGAGATGGCCGATGAGGAGGAATTGGGATGGCTATAGCTGTGAATGGCAGAGAGAGAGAGGCGAGTGCTAGAGAGAGAGAGAACGGGAGCTGGATGGTGGGAACTGTGAAAGCCAGAAGCCCAGGGGGGTAAGAGGGTGACGCAACCTTCTGCACACTCCGTCGTCTGAGGCCCCATCTCTCTCCGGTGGAAGGACCCACCTCGGCTCAAGCTCTTTCTCTCTTCAGCTCCTCCCCCCCTTTTGTCATGCGGTGGAGCCACACGAGCGGTAAACTCTGACAGCACGTCCCTTGTTCATCGGGGCAGAACGGCGACCGGTGGCCAACCCCCACCGGGGCGTCATGAGTGTGACATGGGTGTGACATGGGTGGGGGTGGGTCCCCTGGGTCCCCCCCGCCAGCTGGCTGCCAGTTGGGAGGAGCTCCCAAAAGCAGGGGAACCCCCATCCGGACCGGGGGGCTGGCAACTCTATACTCTTCTCACTTTCCACAAACTATGCAAAACTAAATTATCCAAGAGGGCCTTTTGCACAGAAAATAAGGGCAGCACTGTAACTATGTGATTCAGAAAGAAGCCTGGGGTAAAGGGTTAGGGTCTGCAGACTATACCACTGTGTTAATTCATATTATCTGTTGCTGTAAGTTCCTGCTATGCAATTTTTGCATTTATCATGCCATGTTAATACTTATGTTTTGCTTCACCTCTGGTTACATCCAGATCTCCACAAGTTACATCATATTGCACTATATATTGGATGTTGCACTGTCTATTGGATGTTCTACCCTTTTGATTGTACTGATTTATTCTGTGTAATTGAGGCCCAATGAGAAAGGTGGGCTATAAATAAATAAACAATGTTTATTAATTCGTTCCATCCACAGAAATTACTACTGGATCCAAGCCATGGTCTGGTACCAGGTATGTGAAGTCTGCTGCCATATGAATTTTCCCAGTCATTAAAATCTGTGTGTTTTCACCTTCTGAAGTAAGTGTAAGACCCCAGTTCCTGGTTCCCAAGGAATTTATAAAAATAAAATCAGAATAACTATCCATAATGAAAATCAGTAAGAGCAGCAACAGTAACATTTAACCCTCCCAACTGAAGTAATAGGGCAGGAATTTCATGCCAGTTCACCTAGCAACTTTACTCTTGAGTTTTAGGTGCCAGTGAAAACATTTCTATATTTCTAGGCAAAAGGCAAATTAATTGCTGTTATAAGTTTTTCTCCCCTCAGCCTCCTATTATAGCATTATATCTAATTCTGTCCTGGACCCTAAAGTGTGCATTAAAAAATCCACACAATGGGGCAAGAGACAGTCAAGAGAGATTTTTTCTGCAAATCTGCAAAGTCCCATTTTGGGGGTGGTATCTAGCCATACAACAATATTATTGAGCCTTCCAAGCTTTGGTTTTTGTCAGTCAAAGGCAGGGGAAAGACTGAAAAGGGGAACAGATGGCATGGAATTAAGGAAGCAGGAAAAAGGAAGAGAAGGAGGGCCTATTCCCAGGGGCTCTCAAGGAAGCGATGGTCTGCCCTCTCTTTAAAAAGCCATCCCTGGATCCAGCCGAATTGGCCAACTACTGGCTGGTTTCCAATTTGCCCTATTTGGGCAAATTAATAAAGAGGGCGGTGGCGATACAGTTGCAGAGCTTTCTGGATGACACTTCCATGCTGGATCCCTTCCAGTCCAACTTCTGCCCAGGTTACGGGACGGAGACAGCACTCGTCGCCCTCACACATGACCTCCGGATGACCTCACAGATGACCTCCAGAGGCATCTGGATCGAGGCGGGACGGCGGTGCTGCTGTTGTTAGATCTGTCGGCGGCATTCAACATGCTCAATCATCAGCTGCTCGCCCACCGCCTTGCCGACGTGGGTATCCAGGGTCTGGCCCTGCAATGGCTTGTCTCCTTTCTCCAGGGTTGGGGACAAAGGGTGGCACTTGGGGAGAAGCAGTCCCGAAGGCACCCACTGGTTTGTGGAGTGCCCCAAGGAGCAGTGCTCTCCCCAATGTTATTTAACATCTATATGCGCCCCCTTGCCCAGATTGCCCGGAGGCATGGGTTTGGGTGTCATCAATATGCAGATGACACCCAGCTCTATCTGTTGCTGGGTGGTCAGTCTGGCTCTACCCCTGGGCATTGCCGGACATGGATGGATGGCTTAGGTTGAGTCGGCTGAAATTGAATCTGATGAAAACGGAGGTCCTGTGCCTAAATTGGAGTGGTCCGGGGTTAGGGGCCCCACTTTCGGCCTTTGGTGCCAGCGCTGAGGGTCAGGAGTTTGGGAGTGCTCTTGGATCCCTCCCTGACAATGGAGGCCCAGGTAGCAGCCACTGCCAAGGCAGTCTTTTACCATCTTCAGCTGATTAGGCAGTTGGTCCCCTTCCTCGAATGCAATGAT